TGTAGGTATACCACGTATTCTGATGGAATGTACTATTACTTACACAACTTAATATGAATGGAGCCCGTTTCATCTTGGTTATACTACAACTGTTACTCAAACGCAAAGAAGACGGAAATTTTCCCCCCAGTTGTGTCTGTCTATAACACCAGCCCCCCAAATCCAAATTTCCGCCTTCCACAATCTAGCACTGAAAGTCCTTCCCTGCCTCCTTGGGTTAACTGAAATCTGGCTCTCTGAAAAATCCACCTTCTGCAGGTTTCTCACACAGATGTTGCCCATTCCCTGAAGTTCCACATATCCCGGTTGGTGACGGCATCCTCTTTTCCTCAAATCCATTTCCAAAGCATTACTCCACTTTCATGTAAAAGCTCTCATCCCTTTGAAGATAGAGGGTAATGTCACCCTATACCCCTCCTCCCAACCTCCACCATTTACTGATATTTTCAAATCGGGTTTGTCTTCCTCACTGCAATGCTGGCTTTTCATTGTAGGAGAATTCATTGCCCATGAGTACCACCCATACCCACTGCTTTGACCACTGCAACTGAAATGACCTTTGCCCCAACAGAGAAAGGTCATACCCCGCACTTGCATCCTCTCCAGTTGCTCCCTTTTTGAAATCTCAAATTCAGACACCCCTCATGGACTTCCAGTCCCTTGCCTCTACATACTCCGTTATCAACCCCATCTCTACGTCAATCCCTACCAGGCATCCCCAAACTTTTTACACAGGGGGCCAGTTCACTGTCCCTCAGACCATTGGAGGGCTGCCACATACTGTGCTCCTCTCACTGACCACCAATCAAAGAGGTGCCCCTTCCTGAAGTGTGGTGGGGGGGGCGGATAAATGGCCTCAGGGGGCTGCATGCGGCCCGCGGGCCGTAGTTTGGGGACACCTGCCCTAGGCAGTCTAGACACCATAGACCATTACTCCAATCACTTTTGCCAGAGTCTATTAACAGAATGCTAAGTGTTAATACAGGAAATCACTCAATTGCTCCACCTGTAGCCACTACAAATTTCTCTTGTTACCTTACCATCTGCAAGATAATCATAGTTTCTCCCTCACAAAAATGTTATGCTATCTAAAACTAAAATCTAGGAGCAGTGGCATGCACCTGTAGTCCTAGCTACTCAGGAGGTTGAGACAAGAGGATCACTTGAACCCAGTTCAAGACCAGCCTGGGCAACACAGCCTATTTAAAAAAAAAAAAAAAAAAAAAAAAAAAAAAAAAAAAAAAGTCTAAGTAACAGTGGCTCACACCTGTAACTAAGCATTTTGGGAGTCTGAGGCTCCCAAATGGGAGGATGGCTTGAGCCCCGGAGTTCCAGACCAGCCTGGGCAGCATAGTGGAACCCAATCCCTAACACACACACACACACACACACACACACACACACACACACACTGGGTATGGTAGCACATACCTGTAGTCCCAACTACTCAGGAGACTGAAGTGAGAGGACCACTTGGTCCTGGGTATGGTAGCACATACCTGTAGTCCCAACTACTCAGGAGACTGAAGTAAGAGGACCACTTGGTCCTGGGAGATCAAGGCTGCAGTGAGCCATGACTGCAACCACTGCACGTTAGCCTGGGCAACAGTGCAAGACCTTATCAATCTATCAATTTTTGCTTTGAGACGGAGTCTCACTCTGCCACCCAGGCTGCAGGTGCATTGGCTTGATCCCTGCTCACTGCAACCTCTGCCTCCCGGGTTCAAACTATTCTTCTGTCTCAGCCTCCCGAGTAGCTGGGATTATAGGTGCCTGCCACCACACCCAGCTAATTTCTGTATTTTTAGTAGAGGGGTTTCACCATGTTGGCCAGGCTGGTCTCAAACTCCTGACCTCAGGTGATCCACCTGCCTTGGCCTCTCAAAGTGCTGGGATTACAGGAGTGAGCCACTAGGTCCGGCCTAATAACTAAACTTAAAAACAAACAAACAAAAAATGAATAAATAAAGCTAAAATTTCCAGTTGTGTGCTTGATCCCATTTATTCCTTCTCCTGGAACTTCATGTTGCCCTCCCTCCTTTATGGCTTCTTCCTACCATATTTGAACGTGATCAAATACTCCACCCCCCATACATATGCAGAAAATCCTTGCCAGAATTTCATGTCCTTTCTAGTGGCTCCAGCTTTTGCTTATTCTTCCCTATTCACAATCAAATTTCAGAATGAGATTTTCATATTTGTTCTCCCCACTTCATCTCCTGTTTCCTACTGAACCCACTGCTAAATAGCTTCTAGGCTCAACACTCATTACTATGGTTGCACCCTATAAAGTTTCTTTTCCCAAATCCAATGGCCATTTCCAGCTCCTCCTGTTTCCTCTGAAAGCCACACACTGCTGGGCTATGTCCCTCATCTCTTCTCGATGGGGTCCTCTTTCTTCTGCTATGAATTAAATACATTGGTAGCCCTCTGGCTTCCTTCCTCAGTCCTCTGCTCTTAGCATACTTGGATAATCTCATCTACTAACTACAATCATCATTTTTTGGTCTATCATTTCCAAACTTATATCTCTAGAACAAATCTCTCTCCTGAGTTTCAGACTTACAAATCCAATTGTCTACTGTTTATTCCCTTTTACATATTTCATAGGCTACTTAATATTAAAATATCTAATCCTAAACTAATCCTATTCCCATCCTCTCTTCATATAACTTTTCTTGCTCTTCCTCCTAGTACCCTATCTCAGTGACAAAATCTATGTTTTTAGCTGGATTTGGTGGCATGCACAGTGTCAGCTACTAGAGTGGCTGAGGTGGGAGGATCACTTGAGCCTAGGAGGTTGCAGTTGCTGTGAGCCTGGATTGAGCCACTGCACTCTACCTGGAGCAACAGAGACATCATCTTAAAAAAAAAAATCTAGGTTTTAAGCCGGGCGCGGTGGCTCAAGCCTATAATCCCAGCACTTTGGGAGGCCGAGGCGGGTGGATCACGAGGTCGAGAGATCGAGACCATCCTGGTCAACATGGTGAAACCCCGTCTCTACTAAAAATACAAAACAACTAGCTGGGCGTGGTGGCGCGTGCCTGTAATCCCAGCTACTCAGGAGGCTGAGGCAGGAGAATTGCCTGAACCCAGGAGACGGAGGTTGCGGTGAGCCGAGATTGCACCATTGCACTCCAGCCTGAGCAGCAAGAGCAAAACTCCATCTCAAAAAAAAAAAAAAAAAAAAAAAAAAAATCTAGGTTTTATTCTGTTTCCCTCTCATCCTCTAAGCCACTAAGTCCTAACAATTCTATCTCCTAAAAACGTCTGAAACCTATTCATGTTTCTCAGTGTCCATTGTCACTGTTTAGTATACTGGTTAAGAGTGCTCATTCAGAAGCTAGACAGTTTTCTGGGTTCAAATCCTCACTTACCTCACATTATCCAGCTGCATGATTCTGGACAAGTAACATCATCTCAAGTGCCTCAGTTCTCATCCCTCAAAATATGTGACTTAGCATTAGTTCAGATCACCAGCATCTCTACCATAGATTACTCCTATGGCATCTTAAGAGGTCTCCAGGCCTCCAGTATGGCTTTTCTCCAACTGAGTCTCCTAAGTGTGGTCAGGAATCTTTCTAAAATGCAAATCGAATCATGTTATTCCTTACTTTAAACCCTTAAATGATTACCCACTGTCTTCAAGAAAAGCTTTAAGCTCCTTAACAATGCACATACGGGCTTTAAAATCTGTCCCTGTTAAATACTAAACCGGTCTCTCTCTTACTGCTCTTCTCTATCACATGGAAAGCTCAGGACTTACCATGCTATTCTTTGCATATGCTGTTCTCTCTGCCTGCAAGCCCTCTCTCTTCTAAACTCTTCCCACCTGTACATACAGTTGGCTAGATCAATGGATACTGCTTTATTTCTCTGTTGGGTATTCCTTTTTTTTTTTTTTTTTTTTTTTTTTTTTTTTTTTTTTTTTTTTTTTTTTTTGGAGTCTTGCTCTGTTGCCCAGGCTGGAATGCAGTAGCACAATCATGGCTTGCTGCAGCCTCCGCCTCCCAAGTTCAAATGATTCTCCTGCCTCAGCCTCTCAAGTAGCTGGGATTACAGGCACATGCCACCATGCCCAACTCATTTTTGCACCTTTAGCATAGATGGGGTTTCACATTGTTGGCTACACTGGTCTCAAACTCCTGACCTCAAGTGATCCACCCACCTCAGCCTCCCAAAGTGCCAGGATTATAGGTATGAGCCACATGCCTGGCCAGGTGTCACTTGGCCTTCCTGCCTCCTAAATCACGCCAAGTAGGTCCTTAGCATCCTATACCTACCACTATCGTAGCTTTTATTTGTTAGTCTGTAGTAACTGACTCTGAGTTCCTTGAGGATAGTGACTATGCTTTATTCACAACTATACTCCCCAGTGGTTAGCATAGTGATGCACACATAGTAGAAATTCAATAAATATCTGTGGAATAAATTAATCATTATGTACTGTTTGCACAATCTCTTAATTAACTGTATCTAGACTAAAATGATACACCTTACTAACCATGTCACCAGTCTACACAGCCCTTTAATGTAGAAGGGAATTTATTTTTATCACATAACCTATAGAAGAAATGATCTGAATACAAATACATTACATTTTGTAAAATGCAAGTAATCTTATGTAAGATCAGCTTGACTGCCAAGTTTTGTTTTGTTTATTTGTTTTGAGACCGAGTCTCACTCCATCGCCCAGGATGGAGTACAGTGGCACGATCTCGGCTCACTGAAACCTCCACCTCCTGGGTTCAAGCAATTCTCCTGCCTCAGCCTCCTGAGTAGCTGGGATTATAGGCATGTGCCACCACATCAGGCTAATTTTTGTATTTTAGTAGAGCTGGAGTTTCACCATGTTGGCCAGGCTGGTTTCAAACTCCCAACCTCTAGTGATCCGCCCACTGCAGCCTCCCAAAGTGCTGGGATTACAGCCACACCCGGCCTGACTGCCAAGTTTTAAAGAAATTTTTAAGATTACATTGAGAAAATTCTTAACACAGAAGTGAAAAGAGACAATAAAAGGAGGTTTTTTTTATTCAAAGGTATAACTGGATAAGTAGATTTGTTTACAACCATTCTTGTGAAATACTTTTTAAAAAAATACGACCAACTTCTTTGCAAATAGCAGACACATACCTCAACTATCATGACCTAATTTTTGGTGGATAATGTACATGATTAGGCAGAAATAGGCAAGCTCACACTGGTAGATTAACTATCAAATACTCAGTCAAAACTCCGTTTGTGGCCCCCACTTCTTGATCGATTTCTATTCCCACTTCGTCTTCTACCATCTTGTCGACTTCCTGATCGACTCCCTTGTCGACTCTGTCTACCTGACCGGCCGCCAGATCGACCACCTGACCGGCCTGACCGGCCCGACCGGCCACTTGACCAGCCACTCCTCTGTCTGGAATTAGAAGATGTGTTTCCATCATAATATTCTTCAATTTCAGGTAATTTGGCTGGCACTGAAAGTATCCAGTCGGAATCATGCCACTCTGCCTGTTAGGGGAATTTACAGGATTAATATAAATGCAAAATAGAAACCATAAGCAAACATGTAAGTACAGAAGACACCTTTTTCGTATCTATTAGCTAAAGGTCATCTATCTGTTAAAGTGGAACAAAAATGAAAACCAAAAAATAAGCGAAAACATGTTCAATTTTCGAGATCATAAATTCATACTCAGTTTATACATTCTAAAACAGCACTATTTGATATCTCAGCACAAAGCAGATACACTATTAATAAGTAGCGTGCAAAAAAAATTAGTAAAAAATAACAAAATAAGTAGAGTGCATTGTTTTCTGCAGGTACACTGACAAGCAAAAAGTAAAAGAGCCCATGATGGAGATTAAATATAAGTCAACACCAGCCAAGGACTAAAAAATGCAGCCACTGGAAACACTTTGGTATTGAGTAAACAAGTGAAGATATACAAATCAGTAACCCATAAGAGCATCACAATTTTATATCTTATTACACTAACTATTCCTTATTGTGATCATGAGTTGCCAAGCAAAGTTATTTGCCAGACGCAGTGGCTCACGCCTATAATCTCAGCACTTTGGGAGGCCAAGGTGGGCGGATCACTTGAGGTCAGGAGTTCGAGACCTGCCTGGCCAACATGGTGAAACCCCAACTCTACTAGAAATACAAAAATTAGGCCGGGCATGATGGCTCACGCCTGTAATCCTAGCACTTTGGGAGGCCAAGGTGGGTGGATCACCTGAGGTTAAGAGTTCAAGATCAGCCTGGCCAACATGGTAAAACCCCATCTTTATAAAAAAAAAATATATATATAAAAAAAAAAAGAAAGAAATACAAAAATTAGCTGGCCATGATGGTGGGCGCCTGTAATCCCAGCTACTCGGTAGGCTGAGGCAGGAGAATTGCTTGAGCCTGGGAGGCAGAGGTTACAGTGAGCTGAGATCATGCCACTTAACTCCAGCCTGGGTGACAGAATGAGACTTTGTCTCAAGAAAAAAAGATACCCTGTTGCTCAGGTTATCTTTCTTTCCAATACCAGTACTTTTTGAGAAAAGACAAAAGAACATACCACTGGTGGGTTTGGCAATATATAACCAAAGTCAAAAAAATGCATAAACCTTTTGGCCAAACAATCTCATTTAAAAACTAATCTTGAAGAGAGAAATATGGCAATGCATAAAGAATTTGCTATGCCAATGCATAGGGCAGAACTAAGAATAGAAATAATCTAATTTCAGAAAACAGGAGATTGGTTAAGAAAACCAGCCACCCAAATGGCCAAATGCCAGGGAGTCATTAAAAATAAGTAACTGGGGTGATGGATCCACGATGGCCAATTAGGAGCAGCTCAGGATTGCAGCTCCCAGTGAAAGCGCGGAGGATGAGTGGCCACCACATTTCCAGACGGATTTTTATTGCCCACCGACCAGAAGATTCCCAGGTGGAGGAGCCCCACAGGTCGCCCGCCTGGCTGTTTTGGCCGGCCCTGCGGTTCTCCGCACAAAATACACGGGTCTGGGCACTGTTTTACCTGGCGATTGGAGCTCCTGGGAGACAGAGTCACCCATTCAACTGATAAAAAAGGGGACTGAAATAGGGAGCCAGGCCAGGAGATTCCCAGGCAAAAAAGCGCCAGAATCTCAGCGCGGTTACGGTGCAGTGGGTCGCAGCAAGGGAAATCACACAGATCCCTGCGCCAGGCAACTGGAACACTTGGGGAGACAGAGTGGCCCATTCAACTAAAAAAAAAAAAAAAAAAAAAAAAAAAAAAAAAAAATGAGGGCTCTGTGGCAGGGAGCCAGGTGAAAAATAAGTTTAGTTAACTGGGCCAGGTGTGGTGGTTCACACCTGTAATCCCAGCACTTTGGGAGGCTGAGGCTGGGGGATCACCTGAGCCTGACCAACATGGTGAAACCCCATCCCTACTAAAAAATACAAAATTAGCCAGGCGTGGTGGCACATGCCTGTAATCTCCCCTACTTGGGAGGCTGGGGCAAGAGAATCACTTCAACCCAGGAGGCGGAAGTTGAGGTGAGCTGAGATTGCCTCATTGCACTCCATCCAGCTTGGGGAACAAGAGCAAAACTCCATCTCAAAAAAAAAAAAAAAATAGAATAAGTAACTGGGGCTGGATGCAATGGCTCAGGCCTATGAACCCAGTACTTTGAGAGGCTGAGGTAAGAAGATCACTTGAGGCCAAGAGTTTGAGATCAGCCTGGGCAACATAGCAAGACCTCATCTCTATTTAAAAATATTAAAAAGAAAAGAAAAAAGGAACTGTGTTATTGACCCCAAAAAATGTGTCTTTAATATATTCTGAATTTTTAAAAAGACTTCAAAAGCAGAATACTCTTTCTTGTTTCAAAGCATGTATATAAGTATGTAGAGATATAATAGACAAATTCTTCATTATCAGAATTCAGTAGACAACTTTTTTCAACAGATAAAACACAAGGATATTTTTTCAAAAGAAAGGGAGGAGGAAGAATCTATAGATTAAAAGAAAGGTAAACATCAAACTTCAATGTATGAGCTTTATGGACCTTATATTTTAAAAATTTAGGGAACAAATGGAAAAGTTTAAACAAAATTAGATGATATTAAGGAATTACAATGTTGGGAGAGGAATTACAATTATGGTATTATGATAATGTCTTTTTAAAAGTCGTTAATATTTAGAAATATGAACATATTTATGGTTGAAATGATAAAATACCTAGAATTTATTTCAAAAGAGCACAGGAAAGTAGGTAAGCAGATGGACACAGAAATGAAACAAAACTGGCGATGAACTGATAATTGTTGAAACTAAGTGTTGGGTACATGGGGATTCATTATACAAGTCCATCATCTAAGAAATATTTGAGGCCAGGCACAGTGGCTCACGCCTGTAATCCCAGCACTTTGGGAGGGCAAGGTGGGCGGATTACGAGGTCAAGAGATCGAGACCATCCTGGCCAACATGGTGAAACCCCATCTCTACTAAAAATACAAAAAATAGCCGGGCATGGTGGCACGTGCCTGTGGTCCCAGCTACTTGGGAGACTGAGGTGGAAGAATTGCTTGAACCCAGAAGGCAGAGGCTGCAGTGAGCCGAGACTGCGCCACTGCACTCCAGCCTGGCGACAGAGCAAGACTCCATCTCAAAGAAAAAAATTGAAATGATTTATAGTAAAAAAATTTTTGGCTGGGCATGGTGGCTCATGCCTGTAATCCCAGAACTTTGGAAAGCCAAGGCAGGCAGATCACAAGGTCAGGAGATCAAGACCATCCTGGCTAACAAAGTGAGACCCTCTCTCTACTAAAAAAATACAAAAAATTAGCCAGGCATGGTGACACACCTATAGTTCCAGCTATTCAGGAGGCTGAGGCGGGAGAACTGCTTGAACCCAGGAGGTGGAGGTTATAGTGAGCCAAGATCACACCACTGCACTCCAGCCTGGGCAACAGAGTAAGACTCCATCTCAAAAAAAAAAAAATTTTTTTGGCCAAGTATGGTGGTTCACACTAATATTCTCAACACTTTGGGAGGTCAAAGTGGGAGGATCACTTGAGGCCAGGAGTTCAAGACCAACCTGTGCTACAGACTCTCTCTACAAAATTTTTTTTAAAAATCAGCCAGGCATAGTGGCACAGGCCTTGTAGTCCTAGCTACTTGGGAGGCTGAGGTGGGAGGATCACTTGAGCCCAGGAATGCAAGGTTGCAATGAGCTATGATTGTGCCACTGCACTCCAGCCTGAGAGGGTGTCCATCTCTTTAAAAATAAATTTAATTCTGGCTGGGTGCTGTGGCTCACGCCTGTAATCCCAGCTCTTAGGGAGGCAAAGGTGGGAGGATAGCTTGAGCCCAGGAGTTCGAGATCTGCCTGGGCAATACAGCAAGACCTTGTTCTCTAAATAAATAAATAAAAATAAAAAAATAATAATAAAAATAAATTTAATTTTAAAGGCCAGACACAGTGGCTCTTGCCTGTAATCCCAGCACTTTGGGAGGCCGAGGTGGACAGATCACAAGGTCAGGTGATTGATACCATCCTGGCCAACATGGTGAAACCCCGTCTCTACTAAAAATATATAAATTAACCAGGAGTGGTAGCGTGCGCCTATAGTCACAGCTACTCAGGAGGCTGAGGCAGGGGAATAGCTTGAACCTGGGAGGTGAAGGTTGCAGTGAGCCGAGATTGTGCCACTGCACTCTACCCTGGCAACAGAGCAAGATGCCGTCTCAATCAATCAATTGATTTTAATTTTTAAACAGACTGGATATTTTATATTAAGGAATTCTTCATTGACTTAGGCATGATAATGACACTATGACTATGTTTCCCAAAATATCCCAATCTAAATTTAGAGAATGTACTCAACGATTTAACAGATAAAACTTTAAAAATACCTGTAACCTTTCTGACTCAGTTGTAGGAACATCAAAGCAAACACCCTAAAAGCAAAATAAAAACATTTTAAATTAGATGCATATGTGGTATTTTTGTTTTGCTAATAATGCATGACACAGTGGCTACTTAATGTATTTTCTAAATTTAAAAAGTAAACACTGTAAGAAGAATTTACAACTACTACTAAGAATCTAGAGTATTCTCTAGAAGAGTTTGTGTAGACAGTATATGTTGTTCCACGTCCCTTGTAAAATGATCCTTCTAATAAATTTATTTTAAAATTTAATGACAAAGTTTCATTTACAAAGAGCTGCAGCAGGCCAGGCGAGGTAGCTCATGCCTGTAATCCCAGCACTTTGGGAGGCCAATGCAGACAGATTGTTTGAGTCCAGAAGTTTGACCAAGACCAGCCTGGGCAACATGGACAAACCCTGTCTCTATTTAAAAAAAAAAAAAGCAGGCCGGACGCGGTGGCCCAAGCCTGTAACCCCAGCACTTTGGGAGGCCGAGGCGGGTGGATCACAAGGTCAAAAGATCGAGACCATCCTGGTCAACATGGTGAAACCCCGTCTCTACTAAAAAATACAAAGAATTAGCTGGGCATGTTTGTGCGTGCCTGTAATCCCAGCTACTCAGGAGGCTGAGGCAGGAGAATTGCCTGAACCCAGGAGGCAGAGGTTGCGGTGAGCCGAGATCGCGCCATTGCACTCCAGCCTGGGTAACAAGAGCGAAACTCCGTCTCAAAAAAAAAAAAAAAAAAAAAAAAAAGCAAAATTCAGCCAAGTGTGGTGGTGCATGACTGTAGTCCCAGCTACTTGGGAGGCTGAGGTGGGAGGATCACTTGACCCTGGATGGCAGAGGCGGCAGTGAGCTGAGGTCACATCAACCTGGGTGACAGGGGAAGACCCTATTTAAAAAAAAAAAAAAAGCAAAAAACTGCAGTGCTTATTAGATAGTAAGAATGATATAATCCAAGATGTTTCCTCTATGGTCTTGGTTGTCAATAAGCTGAAAATTAATTTAATACTCAAGTATAGCAACTAATTTGGCCTATGTATCTTGCTATTTTTTCCCTCCCCTCTACTTTTTTTCCTGAAAGTGTGTATTTGTCTCATACTTGCCCCACATCTTTTTTTTAAAGTTAATACTAAACTTTCAGAGAGACATTACTTGCAATATACAATCTAGTTAATAAATTCCAAGCTAGAATGAACCTATGCAGTAAAGTTAATAACATAATGTTGTTTTTCAAAACCATTAGATGAAATCAGTCACAAGATTACAGTTTTAATTTTGCTATATAAATGTATTAAAATATTTATTTAATTCATATCATTAACTCATTAACGACCAAGAGCAGGCCACTTAAAAACCAAACTGCATGTTCTCAAAATTATAGAGCTGTTTACTGCAATAATAAGTTACTTAGTCTTAGAGAATGAACACACACACTAGGTGCAATGGCTCAAGCCTGTAATCCCAGCACTTTGGGAGACTGAGGCAGGTGAATCCCTTGAGCTCAGGAGTTCAAGGGCAGCCTGGGTAACATGGCAAAACCCTGTCTTTACCAAAAATAATAATAATATAGGCTGGGTACAGTGGCTCATGCCTGTAACCCAAGCACTTTGGGACACCGAGGTAGGAGGATCACCTGAGGCAAGAAGTCCAGCCTGGCCAACATGGTGAAATCCCATTCCCCCACTGAAAAAAAAAAAAAAGGTAGCAGGTACCTGTAATCTCAGCTACTTGGGAGTCTGAGGCAGGAGAATTGTTTGAACCTGGGAGGCAAGAGGTTGCAGTGAACCGAGATCGTGCCATTGCACTCCAGCCTGGGTGACAAGAGTGAAACTACGTCTCAAGATAATAATAGGTTAGATGCAGTGGCTTGTGCCTGTAATCCCAGCACTTTGGGAGGCCGAGGTGGTTGGATCGCAAAGTCAGGAGTTTGAGACCAGCCTGGCCAACAGAGTGAAACCCTATCTCTACTAAAAGTACAAAAAATTAGCCAGGCACAGTGGCATGTGCCTGTAATCCCAGCTACTCAGGAGGCTGAAGCAGGAGAATCACTTGAACCTGGGAGCGGAAGTTGTAGTGAGCCAAGACTGCGCCACTGCACTCCAGCCTGGGCGACAGTGCAAGACTCTGTTTCAAAAATAATAATAATAATGATAATAATAATACAAAAAGGGCAGGTGCAGTGGCTCACTTCTAATAATCTCAGCACTTTGGGAGTCCAAGGCAGGAGGACCACTTGAGCCTGGGCAAACAGACCCCATCACATAAAGTAGTAAATAAATAAAATGTAAAAAATAAAAAGAATAAACACATGTATACAACCACATATGCTATGTGGCAGAAACTTAGATAACTTGGGTATTAGACAGTCAAACTGAACAGAATGACTTACAGCTCTGGAGGAATGGGTTACGTAAATAATGCCCCAAATTAATAAGTGGAAACAAACTAACACAGAAAAAGCAGTATTATTCATACCATTAGGATTCAAAAAGAGAAAGAACAACATTTGCTAGTGTTTATAAACATTTGGGGTAGTTGATTTAAAAGCTATTTAATTGTCTAGAAAAGCCTACCATATTTCCTTTCAGGAGGCACATTCTGGTAATCTGAGACACTGCATTACTACTCAGCTTTCTGTTAAGTTCTTTCCAAGCACAGCTGACATCCTGTATTTCCTCCAGGCTTTCCAGAGTCATGGTCACAAATCCCTTAAGGAATAAAAATCACATTATGTTTGGAAATACATCAGCAGCAGCAGTACAATGAAATTCTAACTCTATAGTCCTTCAAGACTTAATTGTGCATTTCTTATGAGCCAAAAGTATAACACTGCAGCAGCTAAAAAACTTTTTTGAAACTACAATATTAGAAGAATAGTGTTTATAGATAATTGAAAGTACTATTCTATGTATTGCTGTAAAACTATATTTAATTCTAACCATTATGTTTTAAGAGAGAATTAGGAATTAAGCAAACCAGAGCCAAGAAAGACAACAAGGTAGTGAAGAATTAAGGAAATGCTGAAGGAGTCAAAGTCAGCTTGCAATGAAAGCCTTGGCTGTGCTCAGTGGCTCACATCTATAATCCTAGCACTTTGGGAAACCAAGGCGGGTGGGTCGCTTGAGCTCAGGAGTTCAAGACCAGCCTGGGCAACATGGCGAAACACCATCTCTACCAAAAAAAAACAAAAAACAAAAAACAAAAACTAGCCAGGTATCACATCACCACATGCCTATAGTCCCAGCTACTCAAGAGGCTATAGTAAGAGAATTGCTTGAGCCCAGGAGGCAGAGGTTGCAGTGAGCTGAGATCGTGCCACTGCATTCCAGCCTGGGTAACAGAACCAGACCTTGTCTCAAAAACAAAAAAAAAGAAAAGAAATACAACACAAATTTCTTTACTTTTTTTTTTTTTTTTTTTTTTTTTTGAGACAGAGTCTTGCTCTGTGACCCATATTGGAACGCAGTGGCACAATCTCAGCTCACTGCACCCTCAACTTCCTGGACTTAAGGAATTCTCTCACCTCAGCCCCATGAGCATCTGGAACTACAGGTATGTGCCACCATGCCAGGCTAATTTTTGCATTTTTAGTAGAGACAGGATTGCCCAGGTTGGTCTTGAACTTCTGGACTCAAGTGATCTGCCTGCCTCAGCATCCCAAAGTGCTAGAATTACAGGCATGAGCCACCATGCCTGACTAATTTCTTTAAACTTTTGAAGGACTGTTACATAAGCAAAAATTTATTTGTTCTGTAACACTTCACTAATAGCAAAAGAATCAACATTAAGAAGATATGGGGATACATTCATCAAACAAATATTTATTAAGTGCTCCCTACATATATGCCACAGACTGTACTAGGTGCTAGAGATTCAGCAATAAGTAGTCCTTCCTTTCATGGAAAGTAGATTCTAGTGCATGTGCGTGTACATATGCCTGTATGTGGGGTGGGTGGGGGGTACATAGTAAACAAATAACCAAATATATGGAATGTCATATAGTAATAAGCATCACAAACAGGAATAAAGCAGGGCTTAGGGAATAAAGAGTACAGGGAGGAGTATGCTATTTTAGAGTGATCAGGAAAGATCTCCCTGGCATGATATTTGAGCAGAGATCAGAATGAAATAAAAGAGGAAGCAACATGGTTATTAGAGGAGAAGAACATTCAAGACAATGAAAGTAGGTGCTAAGGCCCTGTGCAATAGTTAAGTTTATGTCTGAGGAAAACCAAATAGGTTAGGTTGGCTGAAATAAGCAAAGGGAGTGGGATAGGGATAAGAGATGATGTCAAGGAGGCAGCAAGAGGAAAAGCCTATAGGATATTCATGATAAAGACTTTGGGTTTTGGTTCAACCCATGAAAGAAATTTCAAGCCACTAACACCCTGTTTCTAATATGTTTAATCAGAGATTAAATGACCCATTTGCCAAAGAGGGATTCTTTATTGGATAAGGGTTGAGACTAAATGACTTCTTAGGTACTTCTTAGCTGCAAATCTCAATACTTTCTAAAGAAATATGTTTTAAATACTGTCTTAAGAAGCATTTGGTGGGTTATTAGAGATATTTGCTTAGTGCTTTTAGTAACGCCACAAGTTACTAATTACAGAGAGTAAAATATACCTTATAATATGGCAGTTTCCATCTTAAACAAATGCTCAAACTAAGCATTACTGGTACTGGAGCAATCTAACATTTTATGCCTCATGACATGATGCAGTATGAGGTACATATTAGCTATAAAGTACTCTTGCCAAAAACATTTAACCTAAATATAAAAATCAAGCTTTGGCATTACTTCCAGTTTAAAAGAGGATAAAGGTAAAAGTTAAATGATGCTTGAAGAGAAATTCAGACAAATCCAGACAGTGAGATATTCTACCAAACAACTGACCTAGACTCTTTACCAAATCAGTATCAGAAAAAAATTTAAAGATGAGAAAATAGTTTCAGACTAAAAAAGACTAAAAGAGACATAATACCAAATGTAACATAGAAAACTTAATTAGATCCTGAATTATAAAAAGATACACACAAATAGGTATATGTATACATATGGATAAACAGAATGGAGTCAAATAAGTCACTTGCAGCAAAACGAGATTTAGCTAAACTATTAACACATACCAGGTAGAAAACATCAGATACTCCAGCTGCATTTATTTCTGCAAATAAGTCACCTCCAAGTTAACCTGCCCTGTCTTTTTGGTCCCTCCTCCCCATCGCAGGGGATGTGCTGCCCAAAATTAGTCTGTTATGTTATTATTTGAAAATCCTGCCAGCAGGCTCTAATCTTATAGATGTCTCCAGGATGAGGCTCGCTCACTCTCTCTCTCCACTCAGACATAACAGAGCTCTTTTAAAAAATTCTCTTCACCAAGAAACTCCCCTCACTTATACTTGAGTAAGTAAAAAAAAAATCACTGAGCTACCTTTACCAATGGTTCTGGTGTGGTATATATATATATATTTTTTTTTGAGACGGAGTTTCGCTCTTGTTATACAGGCTGGAGTGCAATGGCGCGATCTCGGCTCACCGCAACCTCCGCCTCCTGGGTTCAGGTAATTCTCCTGCCTCAGCCTCCTGAATAGCTGGGATTACAGGCACGCACCACCATGCCCAGCTAATTTTTTGTATTTTTAGTAGAGACGGGGTTTCACCATGTTGACCAGGATGGTCTCGATCTCTCGACCTCGTGATCCACCCGCCTCGGCCTCCCAAAGTGCTGGGATTACAGGCTTGAGCCACCGCGCCCGGCTTTTTTTTTTTTGTATTTTTAGTAGAGACGGGGTTTCACCATCTTGATCAGGATGGTCTCGATCTCTTGACCTCGTGATCCACCCACCTCGGCCTCCCAAAGTGCTGGGATTACAGGCTTGAGCCACCGTGCCCGACCTCTGGTGTGGTATATTTTGACATGTGATACTAACCTGGCAGCAGGCCAGTTCAGATGATGTTATACTTACACAAACCCTCCACACACACAGGCATTTCTTACTTTGCATGCTACTGTGCTAATTGTGCAGAAGCTATTTTTTACTTTGCAGGATTCCATGGAAACTTACAAATGAAACAGGTTCTGGTATACAAGTTTCAGTTAACAAAGGTCTGTACAAAGTAAGCATTTCCTATATTTCTCTCCAAATATGCAGAAAGACAGACAGACATTTTCAGGATAATGAGAAAAATATGGATATGAACTAAATATTTGATGATACAGAACTATCATTAATTTTAACAGATTAGATTATTGTATTGTGACTAGTAGGAGAATACCCTTATTCTCAGAGGATGCATGTTGAAATATTTAGGGATGATATCACAGTGTTTCAACTTACTTTCGAATTGATTTAGAAAAAAAAAAATATAGGCCAAGCGAGGTGGCTCACGCCTGTAATCCCAGCACTTTGGGAAGCTGAGGCGGGAGGATCACCTGAGGTCAGGAGTTTGAGACCAGCCTGACCAATATGGTGAAACCCCATCTCTATCAAAAATACAGTAACTAGCTAGGTGTGGTGGCATACGCCTATAGTCCCAGGTACTCAGGAGGCTAAGACAGGAGAATTGCTTGAACCCTGGAGGCGGAGGTGGCAGTGACCCAAGATCACACCACTGCACTCCAGCCTGGGCGATCACAAACTCTGTCTCAAACAAAAATAAAACAAAAAACATAAAGTTATAAAGCAAGAAAGAAGATATTGAATGGTTTCTAAAAGAAATGATAAATGTTTAAGACAATGAATATGCTAACGATCCTGATCTGATCCCTATACATGGTATGTATTGAAACATCACTATGTACATTATAAATATGTACAATTATTACATCTTTTTTTTTTTTGAGATGGAGTTTTGCTCCTGTCGCCCAGGATATGGTGCAATGGCACGATCTCAGCTCACTGCAAACTCCACCTCCCAGGTCCAAGCAATTCTCCTGCCTCAGCCTCCCGAGTAGCTGGGATTATAGGAATGAGCCACCATACTCGGCTTATTTTTGTAATTTTAGTAGAGTCGGGGATTCGCCATGTTGGCCAGGCTGGTCTTGAACTCATGAACTCAAATGATCCACCCACCTTGGCCTCCCAAAGTCCTGGGATTACAGGTGTGAGCCACCATGCCCGGCAGTACATGTCACATTTTTTTAAAAAATTAGAAATTAAGAGCTAAAAAAGGATATAAAGCAAGTAATGCACAATTTTAACAGTTGAGTCTAGGTGGATGGTATGTGGCTACTGCCTTATTCTTTCAGTTTTTCTGTGGGTTTGAAAAATCTCTGGAAGACGTGATTGTCAAAAAAGGATTTATTAGGGAGTAGAGGAGAATAAGGAGACCAGTTTCTCATAGACCAAAACAGTTTTGTTTTTTTTTTTTTGCACAAGAAACACAGTAATTCACTATACAATATTTACTATGGTTCAACGTTAACCTTTTCCCACTCACGGACAATTCACAGATTTCTACCTTATCAGAGGTGATCAAAGATCGTGGTTCGAAGCTTGATGCACCAGAAATGTGGGCTAAGGCTGCAGCCAGTGCATCCACTGCCCCTTTTTCTTCTATCAGTCTCTGAGCTGATGGTCGGAAAAAATCAACAGCAGCATAAGAAACGGAAGCCAGAGACCTATGGTTTAAAAACAGTATTCTTGGTCAAGATGCAGGGAAAAAATAAAAGAAGATAAATAGGAAAAAGAAAGAGTAACTTTTTCTTTTCTTTTCTTCTCTTTTTTGAGACAGAGCCTTGCTCTGTCACCCAGTCTGGAGTGCACTGGCACAATCTTGGCTCACTGCAGCCTCAACCTCCCAGGCTCAAGCAATCCTCCCGCCTCAGCCTTCCAAGTAGCTGGAACTACAGGTGTATGCACCACCACGCCGGGCTAATTTTTGTATTTTTTGTACAAACAAGGTTTCACCGTGTTAGCCAAGCTAGTCTCAAACTCCTAAGCTCAAGCAATCTGCCCACCTCAGCCTTCCAAAGTGCTGGAATTACAGGCATGCACCACAGTGCCCAGCTAAAACATTTTTATATTTTAATATAACTAAATGTCTGCTGGTAAAACTGGTGATTAAAATTTTCTGCTATTTGAACTAGGAGAGCTTATAGATGAATAGCCTAATACAAAAGAAATAATTGTTCAGCAAGCTCAGAAAGCATACCTGATGGCATCCATGCTTTTAGATTTAACTAAATCCATCGTAGAAGGAACACCTACACGTTTAAAAGTAATTCCCTGAAAATGAAAGAGTTACATTAAAGAAAAATGGAAGTCTTTAAAATTAATTCCTAAATTAATATAGTAATAGCCTGTTGAATTTCTATCTCTTGGACTTAAAGATTTCAAAGCCCTAGCAGATTAAAAGATCTGTTTTATCCTTTTTTATTTTTTTTTGAGACACAGTCTTGCTCTGTCACCCAGGCTGGAGTACAATGAAGCAATCACGGCAACCTCCACCTCCTGGGCTCAAGCGATTCTCCTGCCTCAGCCACCCTAGTAACTGGGATTACAGGCGCCTGCCACCATGCCCAGTTAGTTTTTGTATCTTTAGTAGAGATGGGGTTTCACCATGTTGGGCAGGCTAGACTCAAACTCCTGACCTCAAGTATCCGCCTGCCTCAGCCTCCCAAAGGGAGGGATTATAGGCATCAGCCACTGCACCCAGCCGAGATCTGTTTTTTTCTAATAAATCATCAGTTACAAATTTCCGAAAAATAATTTTTTGAAATGCCCCTTAGTTGCAATCATGGAATTTCACTTGCAAAACAAGTCTGATTAAAAAAAAAAAAAAAAAGATGTTATCAGCTTTTTTCCTCCTTATTACACTATCTCATTTTATGAAGTATATGAAATAGCACATAAAAATAGGAAAAATGTGAAATACCACAAAAAAATCCAGACCACAGAAAATGTACAGTTTCTTTAGAAACTATCCATTGTATCATTACTTAAAAGAATGTTAATTATACCAAGACGATCTTATAGTCACCCATTTACAATGCTAGACTAGACTGAGAAGTTCTGAAATCACAATGCACTTCTGATTTTAGTATGAAGAGAGAAACTCAAGGAAAAGATGAGAAAGTCAGCTCCACTGTCTTCACAGTAAAAGCTGTACTGAAGTCTTGAAGCTAATATAAATTTAGATCTCCACAGGCTTCACATCCAAATGCAGCTTAAACTGAGAAAGTTATAAAGACCTACTTGTGAGAATAAATATAAAAAGAGCTCTCTTCTAAGGCGCCATTTAGACAATAAGCCTGAAATAATTTAACTCTACTTACTGCTTTTTGCTCCACATATCTTAGTTGACCTCTTTCTCTTGGTTGATAAAAACATATACAAATCCCTGTCCGTCCAGCTCTACCTGTGCGTCCAGAGCGATGGATATAGGACTCAACATCCTAGAGATTGTAAGAGGTAATACTTTTTAAAAATCTGGCAAGTTCCAGTCATTCCAGAATCCAAATAATAATGTTAATAATAATAATAATAATACCTATTGCTCTTTTCAACATTCCAAACAATTTATATGTGTGGATTTTGAGGTAAAGGCAATAAGATTTAAAACCTTTTAATCTACTTAATCTTTTTTTTTTTTTTTTTTTTTTTGAGACGGAGTTTTGCTCCTGTTACCCAGGCTGGAGTGCAATGGCGCGATCTCGGCTCACCGCAACCTCCGCCCCCTGGGTTCAGGCAATTCTCCTGCCTCAGCCTCCTGAGTAGCTGGGATTACAGGCACGTGCCACCATGCCCAGCTAATTTTTTGTATTTTTAGTAGAGACGGGGTTTCACTATGTTGACCAGGATGGTCTCGATCTCTTGACCTCGTGATCCACCCGCCTCGGCCTCCCAAAGTGCTGGGATTACAGGCTTGAGCCACCGCGCCCGGCCTAATCTACTTAATGTTTTTTAAAAAATAAAAATCAGTTCCCTATGAGAAGGAAATTTAAAATAATAATAATAATAATCATCATCATCATCTATTCATCCCAGGTTTCTTTAAATGGCAACTTTTTATAATTCTCTGCCTGATTTTGTTGCTCCATGCTTCAAATCCAAACAATAAAATTAATCATCTGCAAAGGTAATATGACCAATTTAATACCACAGTAACAAAAAATGGCTAAAAGCAAGAAGAGATGACATATTTTTCACATCCCAAGCAATAAATTATAAATTAAATGGGAATTTATAAAATTGCTCTTATCTTCCCCAAATCAAATCCCATTTCCTACCTGAGGAGGAGAACTCTGAATAACCAGGTCAACTTCAGGAATGTCCAAACCACGGGCAGCCACATTGGTTGCCACCAAAACTTTAAAACTACCTTCTCTGAAGCCTTTTAGTGTAATTTCTCTTTGTGACTGTGCAATGTCCCCATGTAAACACTGGGCATTCTATTTGAGAAAGAGGGAGAAAATTAAGTGTACAGTTCATAGTTGCAACTGATATCACTGCAATACCATCTAGTCTGTGCTCCTTTTGCATGTTTTTTTTTTTTTTTTTTGAGACGGAGTTTCGCTCTTGTTACCCAGGCTGGAGTGCAATGGCGCGCTCTCGGCTCACCGCAACCTCCACCTCCTGGGTTCAGGCAATTCTCCTGCCTCAGCCTCCTGAGTAGCTGGGATTACAGGCACGCGCCACCATGCCCAGCTAATTTTTTGTATTTTTAGTAGAGACGGGGTTTCACCGTGTTGACCAGGATGGTCTCGATCTCTTGACCTCGTGATCTACCCACTTCGGCCTCCCAAAGTGCTGGGATTACAGGCTTGAGCCACCGCGCCCGGCCCTTTTGCATGTTTTTAAATCTTACTTTCTGAAAATATTTAACATAAAATGTAAAAGCTTCCCTAATACTAGCCACTTAGAAATAGTTCCCTACTAAGAGTGTGGTAATATTCTGTCAGATTTTTTTTATTTTTGAGATGGAGTTTCATTATTGTTGCCCAGGCTGGAGTGCAATGGCTTGATCTTGGCTCACTACAACCTCTGCCTCCTGTGTTCAAGCAATTCTCCTGCCTCAGCCTCCCAAGTATCTGGAATTACAGGCATGTGCCTACCACGCCCAGCTAATTTTGTATTTTTAGTAGAGATGGGGGTTTCTCCATGTTGGTCAGGCTAGTCTCAAACTCCTGACCTCAGGTGATCTGCCCACCTTGGCCTCCCAAAATGCTAGGATTACAGTCATGAGCCACCACGCCGAGCCCAGACTTTTTTTTGGTTTTGTTTTTTTGAGGCAGAGTTTCATTCTTATTGCCCAGGCTGGACTGCAATGGCGCAATCTCAGCTCACTACACCCTCCACCTCTCAGGTTCAAGCAATTATCATGCCTCAGCCTCCCGAGTAGCTGGGATTACATGCGTCCACCACCATGCCCAGCTAATTTTTGTATTTTTAGTAGAAACAGGGTTTCGCCATGTTGACCAGGCTTGTCTTGAACTCTGGACCTCAGGTGAGCCCTGGCCTTGGCCTCCCTAAGTGCTGGGATTACAGGTGTGCGCCACCACATCTGGCCACTTTTTTTAAAAATACACACATACAAACACACTTACACTACTCACATTACACTTGCATATATTATAACTTTATATATTTATTTATAAAATGGGATCAAATTATGTAGGTAGGGTTTTGTAATCTACTTTATAAATTTCCTGTATCTTAGCTATCCATATTTATAGGTAAAATGCTACTTATTTTTTTTAACTGTATATAATTTATTCATATGGATGCAGCAGTATCTATTTTAGCGAAATCCTACTGATGAACATTTAGGCTGTATTCAAATTTTCACCTTTAGAAACAATGCTGCAATGAACAACTTTGTACTTATATCCCTGGATGCCTCTGTATCTGTGTATTTCAGTAGGATACATATCTAGAAGTTGAATTCTGGGTCAAAATTATGAACACACAGCACTTTAACAGAAACTGTATTATAAAAAAAGTTGTGAACCTTTTATTCTTCAATACTCTATGAGTATTTATTTTATCATGCCCCACCCACCTTGTACATGATAAATCATTGTAATCTTTGTGAATTTAATAGGCAAAAATAATTTCCCAATCATGTTTTACTTTACATGTCTGTAATTTTTAGTGATGGTGAACCTATTTATATTGGGTTCATCTTCATCTAGGTTGCAAATTTCCTGGTACTATAAATACACTTCCTAGTATTCTTGATCACTATATTAATGTCAAAAAGTTCATTAACAATGATAAGGCCAGGCATAGTGGCTCATGCCTGTAATCCCAGAATTTTGGGAGGTTGAGGTGGGTGACTTGGAAGTCAGGAGTTAAAGACCAGGATGGCCAACATGGTGAAACCTTATCTCTACCAAAAATGCAAAGATTAGACAGGTGTGGTGGTGCAAGCCTGTAATCCCAGCTACTCGAAAGGCTGAGGCAGGAGCATCACTTGAACCTGGGAGAAGAAGGGTGCAGTGAGCTGAAATCACTCCACTGCACTCCAGCCTGGACAGCAGAGCAGGACTTTATTTCAAAAAAAAAAAAGTTTTTTACAATAATTTAACACCAACAGTATCTCAGCCTTGGTATCTAAATAGCTTAATGCATAAATGAATGAATTCAGTGGGTACTTGCTATCTGCCTGGATTATACCTGGTTCTAGAACACTAATAAAGAAATGGCTCTGGGGCAACCAGCTGACAGGCCTCTTCAATCCAGTATGATGTGTGCTATCACGGGTATAGGTTCAGAGTGTGACAGGAATATTTAAGAGGAAAATCCAACTCAATCTTGTTCAAGAGGAAGGCAACGCTGAAGCTGAGACATGACATCATAAGAAACTAGTAGGTAAAAAAAAAGGAGCAGAGGGCTAGGGAGTTCGTGGTAGAAGAAATCTCATACATAAAGAGTGGGGAGTGGAACCTACAAATATTTTAGCATTGCTGAAACCGTGAAAAGGGAGTGGGGAGGTGAGAGGATAGGGAGTGACAGATGAAATTGGAATAGAATATGAACTTTATCCTGAGGATAATATGAAACAATTGATTATAAACAGAAAAATATGAACATATTTAAATTATACAACCAGGCACAGTGGCTCACTCCTGTAATCCTAGAGCTTTGGGAGGCCAACACAGGTGATCACCTGAGGTCAGGAGTTCAAGACCAGCCTGTCCAACATGGTGAAACTCCGACTCTACTAAAAATACAAAAAAAGTAGCCAGGCACGGTGATGGGCACCTGTAATTCCAGCTACTTGGGAGGCTGAGGCAGGAGAATCACTTGAACCCAGCGAGGCAGAGGTTGCAGTGAGCCAAGATCGCACCACTGCACTCCAGCCTAGGTGACATAATGAGACTCTCTCTCAAAAAAAAAGAAAAGAAAAAAGAAATAAATGAGCCACTTTAAACCACAGGAGATAGAATCCAAAATTATGTAGTTGACTGGATGGCCAAGGGTGAGGAATAAATTCAAGAGTGATGCATAAATTTCTGGTTTAAACAATAGGTAGATGTATTATTTAGACCTAGAAAATGTTGGAGACAGAGTAAGTAAAGGAGTATAGAAAGTAATTTAGGTTTAGGAACATAATGGGTTGGTGTGTCTGCAGCCAATAGGTCTAGTATTCTTGAGGCAGATCCCAGTGAGATAAAGATTTGGGTATCATTAGCATATACTAGATGACTAGAGCCATAGGAGTTTATTAGATCTATTTATACATATCTATACTTCTATATTCCTATACTAATTGACCACTTGCTTCAAGAAAAGAAAAGTGCTATGCAAAATGCTTTAAATAAAAAAAATTTTTCTTTTTTTGAGACAGAGTCTTGCTCCATAGCTCAGGCTGGAGTGCAGTGGTGTGATCTCAGCTCACTGCAACCTCTGCCTCCCAGGTCCCCGTTCAAGCAATTCTCCTGCCTCAGCCTCCCAAGTAGCTGGGATTACAGGCGCAAGCCACCATGCCCAGCTAATTTTTGTATTTTTAGTAGAGATGGGGTTTCACTATGTTGGCCAGGCTGCCCTTGAATTCCTGATCTTGTGATCCGCCCGCCTCAGCCCGCAAAAGTGGTGGGATTACAGGCGTGAGCCACTGCACTTGGCCTAAATAAACAATTTTTTAAAAAATAAAATAGAGATGAGGTCTCACTATGTTGTCCAGGGTGGTTTAAACTCCTGAGCTGAAGTGATCCTCCTGCCTTGGCCTCCCAAAATGTTGGGATTACAGATGTGAACCACCATGCCTGGCCCATCTAAATCTTAAAATGGTAAAAAAGAAAGTAATTTTTAATACTTTTTAAATTTTATTTTTCATTTACTGTGGAGATGGGAGCTCACTCTATTGCCCAGGGTTGAGTGCAATGGCATGATCATTGCTTACTACATCCTGAACCTGCTGGGCTCAAGAAATGCTTCCCTCCTCAGCCTCCTCAGAAGCTTGGACCACAGGTGTGTCCCGCCACACCCAGGCTTTTTTTATATTTTTTGTAGAGACAGACTCTCACTATGTTGCCCAGGCTGCTTTTGAATGGCTGGCCTCAAGCAATTTTCCTGTCTTGACTTCCCAGAGAAATTCTTTTAATTTCAAAAATATCCTTTTATTATTATTAATATATATTTTTTTGAGACAGAGTCTAACTGTTGCCCAGGCTGGAGTGCAGTGGTACACTCTCGGCTCACTGCAACCTCTGCCTCCTGGGATCAAGCAATTCTCCTGCCTCACTAGCTGGGACTACAAGTGCGTGCCACCATGCCTGGCTAATTTTTTGTATTTTTAGTAGAGACGGGGTTTCACTGTGTTAGCCAGGATGGTCTCCATCTCCTGACCTCGTGATCTGCCCACCTTGGCCTCCCTAAGTGCTGGGATTACAGGCGTAAGCCACCCAACCAAGCCTATTATTTATTTCATTTATTTATTTCCTTGAGACAGAGTTTCCCTCTTATTGCCCAGGCCGATGTGCAATGGCAGAATCTCAGCTCACCAAAACCTCCGCCTTCCAGGTTCAAGTCATTCTCCTGCCTCAGCCTGCCTAGTAGCTGGGATTGCAGGTATATGCCACCACCCAGCTAATTTTTTTTTGTATTTTCAGTAGAGATGGGGTTCCTCCATGCTAGCCAAGCTGGTCTCAAGCTCCTGACCCCGTGATCCGCCCACCCTGGCCTCCCAAATTGCTAGGATTACAGGCATGAGCCACCACACCTGGCCTATTCATTTATTTTTTTTATTTTTTATTTTTTTTGAGACGGAGTTTTCGCTCTTGTTACCCAGGCTGGAGTGCAATGGCGCGATCTCGGCTCACCGCAACCTCCGCCTCCTGGGCTCAGGCAATTCTCCTGCCTCAGCCTCCTGAGTAGCTGGGATTACAGGCACGCGCCACCACGCCTAGCTAGTTTTTTGTATTTTTAGTAGAGATGGGGTTTCACC